TTCCATCAACATTTATAAATTATATTCAGTAAATTTGTATTCAAAATAAGTTTCTGTTTATTTAACTATCGATTACGAACACATATTGTAGTGTATTTTAATATAGGTATTGTTTAAACGGTATTACATAATTAGTTTTTAGCATTTGATTGATCAATATTATTGTGGGGCTTGTTTTACTCTTTTTTTAGTGTGCAGTCGGGTATTTTGTTTTTTTAATAATAATTTTTTTATTTGTTATTAGTTCATGAAACATATTTCAAAAAAAATAAGTAAGTAAATACAATAAATAGGTATTTCCTTATAAAAAATATATTCATATTTTGTGCGCCTCCGAAGCGCATGGTTATCTTTTGTAACAGTCAAAATATGGTTATCTTTCTAGGGTTAATATTCCTACCTCCTGTATGTGTACATTATGGATTCATTAAATACTGGAATACTCGATTGTAGACCTAATTGAAATAAATATAAGCTTATAATTAACATAACTTTTATTTTATACACTAAAAAAACTAATCTACATTGCAATACAATTAGAATCCTCCATTAAATGCATTATTCCATTTATATCTTGAATCTTTCTTCAATGTGTCAGAATCCATTTTCTTCTCGCTCTTCTCAAATTGTTCTAAAGCCTCAATTTGCTCGGGCTTTGGACCAATTGTCTTGGTGACAATACATTGACCATTTTCCTTCAAAACTGTGTAGTTTATGTCATCTTTAGTTGGTTCTCCATAAGGAAATACAATCGGTGTAATTTTTATCAAATGTTTAATTTTCCATAGTCTCATGTTGATTTCAGGAATATTTTTTACTACAGTAACATTATTTTCGCACTGGAACAAAAATATAGTTTTGTTATCTTTGTATCAACATCATCATATCTTAAACATATTTATATATGATATTGTTTTGATTTACACAACTATAACACAAGGATGGTGTACTTACTTCCTCCAAAATGTTAAATTCCCGAAGGATAGATTTGAGGTAATGTGGCTGGTGTTTGCTGGGTTTGATTCGTTCCACTCTGAACAACTTAGTAGGCGTGTATTCGGGGTCTTTGTGATCAGGATATCTAAAAATGAGTAGTATTATTATACTGAATGAAAACAATTATTCACAAGTGCATTTGCTTACACTTGATTAAGTTTATACCTTGGATAGTACACGATACCTCCTGGATATCGAATCCCACCCGGTGCTTTATAGCCCTTCGACCTAATAGCCGAAACTAAAGGACTTAACGCTTTTAATAGTTGCCCATTCATTTTAATATAAATAATTTAAGAAACGAAGACCATACAATAACCTCAAATGAAAATAACTCATAACTCCAATGACATTTTCAAGATAATGTGACACTGACAGCCATAACAGTTGAAGCTGTAGTAGAATGTTGCAATATATAAATATTGTGATGTTGCATTATTAGTATGATGAAGTACCTACTTATAAAATGTATTGTTTTGACAGAAATTAGTATCATTTTTATTAGTATCAATTTTAAACTTTACATTTGAATTAATTAATTAAAAAACCATTATACCATCTTTTAAACTGACGTTACCTGATGTCGACTTTCTGTACATTTTACTCGTTGGTATGCTTGTATGAAGTGGCTATGGTTCTGTCAAATGTCAATGTCATTATTAACGTTTACAAAATACAAATTTTCAAAAGTTTGTTGTGTTATTTTCGTGGGAATACAAGAGTTTTGTAATTAATTTTGAATTTAGTTTTATATCAAAACTTTAATCAAATGTGATATGTTATATTATTTTTAAGTGTTGTGTAGTGTTTGAAACTATATATTTGATGGTGCGTGGTATATTTTAAAGGTTAATGCTAATGAAGAAAGTTAGGTTTGAGAGTCCTGCTAAAGCTTTCCTATCTACCGACATGAACGAACGCGAGTGTCATTCGCCTCGTCCACTAGTAGAGAGGCAGATGCATGCAAATTTACCTGACTTATACAGTCAGGTTAAGGTTTTACCGTACAGTAATGACCCAGTGCAACTTTTTGAGTGCAGCAATAGTTCTCCGTATCCAACAATGACAAAGACTCCGTTGTCTAGCTATCAGAAATCTCCTGAGTGGTCACCGTCTCACGACTTGGATCTAAGTATGTTGGATGCTTCATACCATGAGCCTAGAAGGCCCACACTTTGTAGATCCATCCTAAAGCCTACTAATGGTAATCACAATGCTGTTGATGGCTACACAATGAATTATACCCCTGAATCTAGTTCTGCACCAAAGATATCAACTGAAAACAAAATACTAAAACTACCAAACACACTGATCAAAAACGATGACTTCTTTATAAAGAGAGATAACTTAGATAAATTTAATTTGGACATGAATCCATTAACAAAGCAACTGAACCAGCTTAGTTTGGATAAAGAAAATGATCCTTTCACTAGGAAATCTGAAATGGTGCAAATGGCAGCTATGAACATGCAGGACAATGTAAAAAGTCAGCCACAGCCCTCTAGATTTGAAGACTCTGATTGCAGGTGTCACCACTGTGTTACAAAGACTACTCCAATAATTACAAATTCTATAGAACAAATGCCTCAGCACCACAGGCCTAACTATGGTTTACCATTTACTGCCCAAAATGTTATGAGGCATAGTCACTGCCCATGTACATTGCCATCACAGCCCAGCAGATGTTCCTGCTGCACTCCTACTCCAACAGCTAGGAAATGCCAGTGTAGTCCTTGTAGTACTGAAAAAACACCTAGTCCAAAATTGAATGCAGTTGACAAAAAGACTTGGGCCATAGAAAGATATGAACAGAGCAAAAATCCAAACACCATGGAGGTTGAAAAACAAGCAAATATTTCCAAAGAGAAACGAGAGCCAACTGTATCTGACCTTTTTAAAATAATAAAGCTCCAAAATGAGCAGTTGCAATTGTTACAAGAAAAAGTGGATAAGTTTATTACAGCAAGCCAACAAGCACAAATACCTGCTCAGAAACATGTAGCTATTGAAACTGTTGGGAATGAGCAGCATAAAATATCAATTGGAGTCATGACTAGTTTTGAAATGGTTAGAACTTCAACAGTAATAAACAAGGAAATCTTGAAAACAAATGACAATGCACAAATACAATGCAATAGATCTCAAATAAGCATAAAAGAGGTTGTGTCTAAAGGGCAAGCTCCTAACCTAAACTTTTTAGATGGTATTACACCTGTAGGTGATACTATGAGGGCAGAGTTTGAGGCTCAAGGAAATGTTTTAACGAACACTCCAATGAATGGTGGTGTGCTTCCACTTGTAGGTGTCAATGAAGAGAAAACATTGAATGAATTGAGCCTGTGTAATGTTCAAGTAGATAATGCAACTACACCACTGATGTCACCAGAGCAGAGCTTGTATTTGGATGTCAGAGATTATAGCGAGTAAGTTATTCATGGCATACATTGTTAGAAATATTGTTTAGTTAGTTATTTTTATTATTTATCTATGTTTTAGTATAAGAATAATAATAAATCTTGTTTATTTTCAGTTCCGATGCAGATAGTGATAATCAATCAAATGTTGGCTGGACATATTATAATAAAGTTATGGTAATATAAATGTTTTAGTCTTTGCTTGTTGAATTGAAGTATATTGGTTTTAATTCCATTTTTGTCTTAAGACTTACTTTGTGTCAGTTACATAAGATCTATGAAAATGTGGTAGGCTCCTACAATACCAGATCACCTCTATACTAATCATCATAATCTTCAACTGCCTATAAATGCCCACTGCTGAGCAAAGCCTCTTCTCACACAGAGCATTAATCACGCTTGCTTAATGCGATTACAAACTTATACATATAATAGTAATACTCGGAAAAAGTGACATTGGTACTTGCCATTGGTATGTTTCGAACACACACCCTCATCTATGCCAATACTGAGACTTAATACCAGGCTGAGATCTAGTGAACAAACCTAAAATATCATGCTTAACTGAACTACAAACTGACAAAGGAGACAATAATTTTCTTTTTTCTTTTATAGACTCATGTGAATGGCATGCTGCAAGATTCAGATATGCCGTCTTCAGCTAGTGCACTATACAGAAACACTAGACAACAGTTGCATTCTGTACAAATGCATATAGACAAGACTAATGTTAGTGTTACTAAAAGGTAAAGTTAAATCCTTTTTTAAAAGCCACCTTTTCACAGTTAGCTAACTAAGCAAAATAAGAACAATTAAGCAGAATTAAATTATTTTAGGGTGAAATTCGGCGATGATCCTCTAGGATTACATCAACCACATATCTATGCGTCCACTGACACCAGTTTGAAGATGAACCAGCTGGCTGCCAAGTACTTGAAGAACGGGCCACCAGTTGCAGCGCCACAGCGCCCTACGCCCAGGCCAGCTACTGCACCAGTTGACATGTCTTTTGCTACGAGAAACTATATGGAGCGACATAAATTGTTGCAAGGTAATTACTGCTTATTTTAAGTATCCTACTCATGACTATGTTGTCAGCCTATGGCACTTTATGGTATTTTGTTTTTTTGTTATACCACCAATTATATCGCATATAAGCATTAAGTTGTTAGGTATGTAAAGAGTATAGGATGTTATTAGTTAAGCCATGAGACTGTCGAATACGACGAAATAACATATTGATAGACAAGTTATTGCCTAAACCGCTTATCATAGAAAAATTACTTAAAATAAATGACAGGCGTCAAAAAAGTGGGTAGAAAGGTAACGTAAAGGTAACTTACTGACTTTTGTATACATTCTTAAATATCATTTCGCAAATATATCGTGAAGCGACCATGACGGGCAGGACGTCGGTGGCTAATTTCAGATTAAAAAGGATTCTATCAAAATGATGCTATCATTGTTTGTTTCAGGTATACCACCACCTTCGAAGTCTGCTTCTCCTGGTGAGATGCCTCGATTCTTAGACATAACTGCTTTGAAACAGCAGCCTAAGTTTTTATAGGTAGGCATTTCTAATCAATTGTATTGTTATTCGTTTTTAAAGTTAAGAAAATTGTACAATACTGTTATATGTATTAGTTTGGATTAGTTTTTTAAGTAGTTGACTTACTTAGCTCTAATGTTAGGTATGTTTGACATGCAAATAAGGTACGCTTTGTTCTGAACAGACATTTATTTTAAACCTCAGAGAAAATAACAGAGTAAAACCCTACATTATATAAGTAGGTATATTTGTTACTGTAACCTTTTGTTTATTACATTACACTTATATTTTGTTCAGTATCTCGGGTTTATTATGAAGTATTATAGTAATATACATTAATTTGTCTACATATATGTATGATACAAACAATAAATTTTAATTTCATATAATGTGCTATTATTTTGTTTCACGCAATTATCACATTTCGTTGAAACATGATTTAGGATAACTATACCACATGCATATTAGTAAAAGTACATCGTTACACTATCTAATACTGAGACTACAATTATGTGCATTTGAACGCGTAGATAATTATACATACATATTACACGCATGCATTTTCATACCTAATTGCATCAAAAATGTCTTTGTTTATCATTAATATGCATGCGGTTTTCATACGCTCTTTTATTTAAAATATAGATTTTTCAATAAACTCCGTGAACTACTATAACATCATTATATATTTATTCTTTCCGAGGTATTTCGAATATCTCTCACAGACAAAAAATTGTACTCCATAAGTTTGGAAATGGTAATAAAAATATTTATATTATACACCAATTACAATTCTGCTTAAGACAATGTCACTTTATGCGATAAATATTATTATGTTTTGAAACTTTCTTATATTATATGGGAACAATACACAGTGTAGTTAAAAACCAAGAAATATTATAAAAACGTACAATCTTATGTGATAAGTTATTTACACTAATATTTCAACATACATTATTGGGACACATACCTTTAACATTTATAATTTAATAAAGAAATAAAAGAAGGATCTGAATACATTAGTAGGTACTACACTATCGAAAAGCTTAACTCCTAAGAGACATCAGTTACACAATATTTCATTTTCAATTGGACAAAACTTTATGACTACATAATGTACAGTACACACATAGTTTTAAATCTCAAGTGCTGTCAGCATTCATAATTCTTATTATTTAAATCTTATCTCTATCAGTTTGGTTCTTTTCTTTGGTTAGTAATATACAATTTCGCACGACATTGAAACATTCAATACACTACTAGACTTTCTGCAATACAAGTAAATATGTAACTTTAATGAATACATCTGAAATGTTACACTACTATTACACCTCTATGTACATTGAAGATAATCTGTATTAACACTTAAATAAGATTTCAATTCTCTTGCATCGCAAAATATTACAGTTTTTATACTATTAAGTCTAGAAAGATAACCAAATAGTTGGATGGCACTTCTTTTCTGGTGTCAAACAGACTTTAGAAAGATAATATTTATAATCATTTCATCATAATACGTTTAATCCTAAAGAGAACTATTTTACATCACTTTTTTGTCTTACATGTTGAAGTCAAGTGACTAGAATATTACATTAAGTATGAGATTCATTTAAATTATTTATTATTAATTATTTATTTGAATTCATTCTGTAGTTACACTGTACATTGTATATTTTCGTAAAAATGTTGCTAATTCATAAAATTCCTTATCCAATAAATTACTTTAACATTGAACGACTACATCGTAACTGTTATTTTTAATATAATTTTGTTTTTACAGTATGTTTCTTATATTGAGCATATATTTTGTGCAGAGCAATTAAGGTATATAGACATTTAAATTATTCTTAATTTTCTTATTTCAATAGCAGAAAAGATAAATATACATCTATTGTTATATATTTTTTCTTTTAATTTAATAAATCTCCAATTTTGCAACAATCATAGAATATTTGTCAATGTAAAATAGCTTCATAATTTATTTGTTCGTATTATGCTCTACGAAATATATTTCTGTTCACTACACATCACCCATATTTATTATATCACATCTTTGCATTCAAAAGTATCTACTCGTACTATTTCTACATACATGTAACGTTTCTACTTGAATTAAAACAATCTTCATTAAATATTAATCTAGACATTTAAGTTTGCTTGACACGACACGCGCTTGAACTAAGTTCTCTAGAATGTTCCGTGCGATTCGGAAAGTTTAGTCGTGTGTCAGTAACTTTCCAACACTCAATACCTATAGGTACCTACAGTTGTATATCTAGCTACTCATTAAAATTGTGCACCTGGTTCCGTATTCGATAACAAGCTACGAAGTTAGTGGTTGTCTACATATCACTTATAAAGTTTCGTCGTCACCTCCGCCTCTTGATTTGCTGTCTAGTCTCAGTTCTGCTAGCCTCTGCCGAATGCTATTTGGCCTGAAATCAGTAATTTGTGTGGTTAATAATATATCGATCGAAAATATATCGATATAAAACCCCAATAAAGGTAAATTATTGTCTCTTTTAGCCCTGTCAGCCATGCATAATTTTTTAGTCATTGGATATTATATTTCCTATTGAGAATATTAATTATTTTTGACGTTATTAAAGTACGGAGATGGTCGAATAGTTTCGAGCTCAACCGGAGCCCTTAGAATAGAACTATACACAAACACAATTCGCAACATCTCACAACAGTTACAATATAATAATAACTTGATCCTTACCTGTCAGAAAAGTATGAGGTGACCACTTGGTCGGCGGATACGGACTGTCTTTGGTATGCTCCTGCGCTCAGGTTACTCTGCGGGATCTTGTAGATTCTAACACACCTTCCGCTGTTTTCTGGGAGCACTGAAAACATAAATAAAATTCATTTTTTATAGTAATGCAAATGTCATTGTTCTTTTTTAGTTCACTGTCCTTTTAAAGTTATTATGAAAAGTTTTGTTGTTCGGGAATAAATGTCAAAACTCATAACCCAGTTTTGGGTATGTGAAACCAGAAACAGTTCAAACTTGTTGTCAATTTACTTCCAAACTTTAAAAGTTTGAGGTTAAACTAATTGAGAATAACAACTAATGAGCGTATTCTCATTAGTTGACTGTACGAACCTTGGGGAGAAGTTGGTGGTGAGATTGGCGCCATTCGTGTCAACGGTGGTCTAATATTTTCCTGTTCTGAAGAAATAGAACTGCTCCTGCTTGACGCAGAGTTATTTTCCGAAGGTGCGGTAGTAGTACGGTTCATGCTGTAGGGGTCTCCTCTGTTATGAAATTGTGGTAAAAATGCATTATGTTTTTAATAATAATTAAGGACATAGTTTCCAAGACTATGTTTAAAACATTACTAAAGCATCCACATTTTAGGAACGGCATTAAAATATAATATCATTTATCATTAAAATTAAGCTAAAGGTCAGCCTTTTAAAAGCTTAAGTAAGCAACGTTTACCTGTCGTGATTGTCATCTTCATCAAGAGAATAAGGTCCACATTGTTTGCTCATCTGTCTGACAAGCTCGTCGTGTAAGCTGAGACAAGGGTCTATCTCGCGACTTAAAGGCACGTATTCCGGTGCGCATGCCACATAGAATATATCCTGAAACTTATTTTGCGTTATAAAGGTAAAGTAATAATACATTATTGTTTGATTCAACTTAATAGCCGATACTAAGGATCGATTCTGAATTACCTAAATGCCAAGATCAAATTCAATTTTTATATGAAAGAAGTAGTAACCTAAAAAAAAGCTAGCAGACTCCCTGTGGAGTTATTGGAAAGATCAGAGCAAGATGGATTGTAGCAATTTTTTGTTTCAGTTAAAAGCCTATAAGGTTTTCTTAGGAACACATTTTTTTTGTGAAACCTATCCTCAGAATAGATTTGGACTTTGATGTCGATTAATGAGGTACTAAATGATCGCAAAAAGTTGCGTTAGTGGATTCCTAGATCTAGATTTCGATAGAGTGATCTAATAAATGTACTTACTCTTCGCCCGCATAACAATTTCAGTCCAGGTATGCAGGCTGCGTGTACTAAGGATCCATTAGCAACTAGTCGTATCTCTAATAAATCTTCGGCAAATGCCATAATATAGGGGAAAGCGCACACTGAAACAAAAATAGTCGTTATTTGTTGCTTTCAATGATGATAGAGAAGTTTCCACTATCACTGATCCATATCACGATCCTCAATCATAATTTGTTACTTTCAATCAAAACAGTTTACATAATTTATAATTTACAATAAAATATTAAAATATTATTATACACTTTCATTAATTGATTTTGTGACCAACTTAATTTTAGTATTTTTCCAGCAAATTTTTAAGGTATAAGTATGCTGTCGCTGACGCTGAAAAAACGTGACGCCACAGTACCTACACAATCTCGTACAAAATTCATAGAAAGTTGTCGTTTTTGAAAGTTCAAAGTATTGAATTTGACTAGTTGGCAAGTACTCAATTAAAATAGTTATGTTCTCGAGTCATATGTTGTGTTTGTTTTCGCTCACCTACTGCTGCAGGCACAGTTGTCCAATGAAAGTCGTATTCCGTATCACTTTCCAGTCCTTTACTTGTTAGTCTTTCAAAATGGCACGTATCTGTGAAATGTTGAAAAGTAGGTAGTCCAGTTATACGATAGGTAGTTGTAAGATTATTAGAGAAACTGTTGGCTTCACATCTCATAAGGTACTGTAGTGTTTGTGACTAATACATGGAGCATGTATAAGAAACATCTGCCCATAAAGTGCAGGCTCGGAGAAGAATCAAACAAATGAGTACTTGTATTTTGAGGGAGAAAAGTTATCCAATTACTTTTCCCGCCTTAAATGAGGCGAGAGGGAGTATCAGACTCTTACTCTAATTAAAAACAACCCGTTCTTACTCCTGCCTCGAGCTGGTGCCCTGGCGATCCGGTAGGCCGTCCGCAGCTCCGGAAAACAGATGAATGGGTACTTACGATTATAACATAAAACAATTTGTCCGTCCCTCTCGTCTCCAATACGTAAAGCGTTGACGAGAGTACCACGACGAGGTCCACTATCTTCAGAGTTTTCTGCTCGTTTCACTGCCTACAAATAACAGATACTCTTACTTTAAAATTACTCTTATTATGGACTTAATTGAAGGTTGATTTAGATTGAGGGTGTACCTGGCCAGTCCCGGATTCTAAAACTTCCCAATGATGCTTGTATCCAACTACCATTATTCCTACTTCTCCATCCATAAGCTTGATCAGTATGGGCGATTCGCTTAGTTGGATGTCCTAAAAGGAACAATAGTTTTATTAAAAATCGGGACTTACAATTTAAGTCTTAATAAGTAGTTCAGTTTTAGAAGGTAAACTTACTTTGATATGTGTATATTCAAAACCCATCTCGTTGTCAGTCTTTGATTCTTCAATCATAAGCATTACCCTCCTACCGATCGCTACCGCTAATGTGGTTTTGCCTCCTTCGCCTAAAATCGGACAAGAAATTTAAGTCTTCGTGTTCATTAACAATCGTGGCTGTTGCGACAAAATTTCAGCTATGCGAAAGTTTATACAAGTATTTTATAATAAGACGCGTAGGCTGCGCGACATCGCCGCGACCGCGCATCCTGTTCATGAGGAAGAGTCCTTCTATGACTCGAAACTAGTAGAGCTTTTCTCAGTATACAAGTATTATTAGACAAGCAAACATCCTTTAATAAATGCTTTTGTAGGAACTAACCAGTTTCCAGTAGATCAAAATAATGCGCAGTCTTAGTCCTTGGAAGCCGAGCGTGCTTGCAGTCCTGTAGTGGTCGCATGGCCCATGCGCCTGCACAGAGCTCCTGTACGGGAAGCGCGTACAAGCCCGCGCCACCAGCGCCACCTGTCGTGGATCCTCCGCCAGCAACTACTCGAGCACCAACACGGAACAGTCCAGCTCGCTCACTCACCCGAGCTGCGCGGACGCAGCCTTCCCATCTTAACACTACGCGGGTGGTTCCGCTTTCTGTTCAAATTATCGAAAGGTTAGGTACAGATCTAGAATATTTTAGAAAGATCTAGAAATTGATAGGTAGAATACCTTCTAAAATGTATGTATTAGACGTCGTAGATAACAAAAGGCGTCCCTCAGCGAGTTGTTCCGCACACACCGGCGTGGCAGGCAGTGGTGCAGCGCGCCATACTTTACCTTCCCAAGGGGCTCGTCGGGAACCACCGCATCCTAAACACATTAACTCGGTTACGGCAACGAACATTCACGATCGTAAGTTCATAATTTGAATACAAAATTGTTAACTCAAATATCATATTTTTGAAACCTGTGACTTTATATTAATTTGATCCAATCGAATACCAGACTGGCTACCTGATGAAACAAGGCTAGTGGGAGCATCGCCTCGCAGTACAGCATCAAGTTTGAGCGCCTGTCCCACATGCAAGAAATGTTCTGTCCGTGCTGCGCCCGCACCACCTGCGCCTGCGCCGCCCGACCACACGTCTGATAGCGCTCGCCGTGATAGCATGGGCTGGAAACAAATCTCAAGTTATTTAAAAGAATATTTGACAAAGTTTCATCTATAAAGGACGGAAAGGGAGAATAGAAGGTGCTAAGGTAGGAGATTTTTCTTTTGAGTTTTTTGCAAAGCTCGAGTTATACGACTCTTCCATCTCTGAACATAATTTGGAGCTTTAATGAAACGGGTCGCAAGGTCGCGCTCATTATTCCCTGAGTCAGTTGCTGTCGGCTCGTCGCCTATTATTTGAGATTTGATTGTCTCATTTTACTAGACTTTCTTGGATCACAGCCGTGATGGTAATGATATGAACATGATCTGGAAGTGAAAGAAAAACATGTTTTTAGATAGATGCACAGTTTGTTAGATTTGCGGTATGGATAGGTTAAATTGGTTATTTGTATAATAGGTACAAAAAGAGACATAAATGAAAACACACGAAACTACCTACACAGATGAACTATTTATGCATGAGTAAGCCTACTTAAGTACAGTACAAGAAAATAAAGTATGAGATCCTTAAGGCATTTGAACTTTGAGTTCTAATTAAGGAAAGCAAAGGAACCATATACAAATGGCTGCTTATTTCTGCTTAGCTTTTGAAACTACAAGCTTTTCTGATTTGTTCAGAGCTTGAGTGAAAAGCCGAGCAAAATATTACCCAACAAACACTTGCAAGAGTTTGCAAACTACAAATACTTGTTACCTCCTACGGTTCTGCTAACTTGGAAGTTTTAGAGTTACAAGCGTATGACGTGTCACTTACGGCATTGCTTGATATGTGGATGGGGTAAGACTAAAAGTAGGCCACAAACTAAAATACCAGAATGGTAGCATAATATAATCAGTTACTTGAAGTTGAACTACTTCAATGCTTGGGCTCCACAGCATCCTCAAGAGAACTACTTATTCAAATAGCAAACTTAGATATATTAATTAAATAAATAAATAATTATAACATTAGGTGCAGTTGTTCTACAAAATCAGTAAACTACGAGCAATATTCGTAGGTTGACTCCTGACATAAGGAAAGAGCTCATTTTTGCTCATTCATGAATGCTTTTATCCCCTGGAGGGAAGCCAAAGTATTCAATTTAAGCTGCAGATATAGCTTGAATCAGTGCCCTGATTTGGTAACTTCCGAAAGAGTTCAGTGTGAACTAAATGCAAAAACCTGACATTTGTGAAGAAAATTATAAGAAATAACGTTTAAAATCGACAAGTTCTATGTGGAGACTTACCACCTTATGGTCCGAGCAGTGTTCCGCGTAGATGTCCCTTATCAGCGTGTCCAAGGTTCGTTGTCGTTTCAATGCAAATGTAGGGGTTTGGAAGGCCGCTTTCTCTCCGTTCATTAATTTTACCTGCGAATTTAAATTATGATTAAAAGTAAATGTCAAACTTCAGTTTTGAATGTCGAAAAAAGATCTGAAAGCCCGTCCTTTGATTAAAACGTCTTTGTCTTTGCCATTGTTTTAATTAGAGAAAAGTAAAAACGAAAATAATAATTAACCACTAATAAAAGATCAGACAGAATGATGTTTTGATGTACAATTTTCTACAGTTATTAATAGACTAAATACAAACAATGGTATAAAAAATATGAGAACAGTGTATCTATATTTTAAAGACAAATATTATATTTTTATTCTTGCTTACCAATAGAAACTCTCTAAATAATTGGGGGTCGTTGAATATTGGTGGACAAGGTAATGAAGGACCAAATGGTGGCACTGTATCGTCACTATATACGCTAAGTTTATATCCTTCCTCCACTTCTGAAACGACTGCGAATATATCTGTTTTCACTTTAAGGAAAATATCCAAAACATTTCGTAATATAATAGAACACAAGACCCTGTATCAAATTTTTTGCGACAATATACAAAAGCATAAATTGAAAAGAAAAAGCGATGCTACTAAAAATTCCAGTCACCACCGACCACCCTCCTGAAGTGAACAATGAAAAATACAGAATATGTAGCAGACTAAAAAATATTGATAAAAGGATACGTGTGAAATGGCTTTTGACGCACTGCGGATTAAAGGTATTGTGCACAGAGTCGTCTGTGAACACTATGTTGACGATGTCGTTGCCGATGTGCCGTTTCCTCTCCAACTGCAATAGGTGTAAAGTTGCAAGTTTTATTAAGGCCGTAACTACTGGGTTACTGTCAGCCCAACATACAAAATGGTTCGGCTCCGTACTCTAAATTATTTTGAACCGGAAACTCACAATTCTAGTTCGAGTTGTATGCAAAGCCGAGCTTCTAAATAAACTTCGACCTTCGTGATCTATGCTATTCGTTTTGTTTGTTGTTCGGAAAATGTAGTTATTTATTCAAAATTTTGTTAGGAAACCCTACAACAAATTGCTTTTAGAGTTCAATATAGCTAGGTAATAGAATCAATCTCGAATGTTTCTCTCTTCTACTATATACCACGTAATAAGAAATTATTGAAGATATGTGAAAGATTTCCCTTACAGCTAAATGATCTTTGAAATATTTTCGACCGAAACATATATTTTGAAAATAGTCTCACACTTTTTCTCCAAGTGATTATATAATTATAACCACATAAGACGTTGAGCTTTTCTACATAGTTTAAAGAATGAAAATATAACCAGAGTGAGAGCAGACGATAACAATATTCATATCAAGCCTAAAATCTCTAAATATAATTTAAAACATCTTCGTACAAAGTTACCTCAAAAATTTTAGATCCGAAGTTCGAATGAAATAAGTTAAGCTCGTTTTCTTGGTTAAGCAAAGTTTAGATCTCGAGTTCCTATCAAACTTTGAAGTTTTTTTAGGAACTTTCATTCTTTTGCACATTTATCAGAAGTAAGTCTTAGATAATTTGGTTACGTGACGATGTCTAGTGTAAAAAAAATGCATCAAGTATCAACAATTTAATAAGCTTATGTTGTGACGATGTGATTAAAAGTACTTGCAATAATAATCACGTTAATTTCATTACACACCTGTTGCTTATTATCCTTGGAAAACGGTAACATTGTGGAGACATGAAACATAATTTCGTGTCCTTGATGCATCGTGTAGATGGAATGGCTCCCAGTCATGTCACCTGTTACAAGAACCACAATTAAGATGACTCAAGATAATATTTTCGACTGCGTGTTTCAGCAAATTATTATAGTTTTTCCGAGTTTACACTTGCTTGGCTTTAGTAAATACTCATGTCTATTCAAAAATAACGAACTCTTGAGCTCTGGCAAACATGTTGGTTGAATTTATCGAGAAAACAAAAGTCTTTGCTGAAACACGTGTAACCCCGAGGCCATAGAAAATAACCTTCTACCGTTTGTTTATTGTGTAATAAGTTGTAACAAATTGAAATATGAATGTTACCTTTGACGTCTAGCCCCCCTCGAAAACGGTTCCAGCCTCGTAATCGAATTTTATCTCCCAAAAGTGAAATAAATCTGTCCCACTTCTCGTCGCCTTTCTCTGAAAGATTGCCAACATTTAAATGTCCTTTCCGAGAAATATATTTTGCTTTTAATATTTTAGTGTAATATTTACCGTTGGAAAGCATTTCATCGTCAGTCTTTTGGCCAGGTTTCATAAGCATTACCCCTATCTTAAAATTAACAGATCCTTCCTGTTCTTCAAGTAGTAGCACATCTTTTTGTAATTCGGCACATGTTATCTGTTTAAGAAAAACATTTCATTATACTGAGCACACATGGGTATAAGATACTGTGATTGAGATTTTAAAGTATTTCTCACCTCTCTTGGGACCTTATCAACCCGTTCCATTGATGGAAATTGTCCTAAAATTTGCTTGACTGTTGGTCTTGTTGGAGCTTGCCCTCCTCCACTATTCCAAGCGCTTGGTGGTAAATATATCTTATGGGCACCCTGAAAATGTAATGAACAGCAAGAGGCATTAGAACTATCTAATGAAGTGGATTTTAATTAATGAGCGGTTTGTTATTGATCGTTTCGAAGCTTTATTAAGCTCTCAAAAGAAAAATCTATTCTTTGTTCCTAGCATTCAACTTTTATTGCATACCTTTGAGACTAGAACGGATAGGTATGCTCATAAACGGTTCTGGGTTAAAAAGTAATGAAATAAGTTTATAGTTAATTAGTTTGGTAATAAAATCAATTAAGATGAAATCAAGTATTTGACATTGCACGAGCAAACAAATTAATTATTCCGTCACGAAAACCCCTCGGAGTTGCGACAGACCCAGTTTTAAAGGTAACATTTTTCTAATTGTATTCCCGGCTTTATAGCTGTAAAAGGCGTTATAATTTAGAACTGGCGTTCGAAATAAAAGTGATTGAAATCTTGAAGGGCGCGCTATTACTGTTGTAAGTGGCACTTCTCACCATTTTATTGAAGAGGATGGCTCTTAAAAGTCCCGCTCCACCCTCTTGCACTACACTTAGCAGGTACGGCTCTCTAGATCCATCAACTCCGATGTAGTTCTGATGCACTGCAAACATTTTATGATTGTAGAATGTTACGACTTACGATATTAACGGAATACGAAAGGTAACCCTCAGTCTGGAAATGAGAATAAAGTAATGCTTTCTACTTAAGATATTTTCATCTGCCTAAAACAGAACCCTAACAGTAGATGCTAGGAAGGCCGTTCGATTAAGATTGTCTTGTTACATAACTTTTACTCGAGGAAAGTGCAAGTACACGCAAAAAGGTTTTGAATTTCAAATCATTTTAAAATGTTCGCGAAGGCAACATTTCGAATGTTTTAAGATTTTTAAGATTTTTTACTTTAACAGCATGTTACCTACATGCTGTATCTACTATTATGTATTATACCCATATTAAGAACATGTAGGTATCTATCTGTTATTATAATCTCATCTTAAATTCTAAATATATGGACACTATGTATGTATATCACATAGTTTATTATTGGTAAAATTAGCTTCGACATCAGATACAAAATGGGTGTACCTAGCAATATACATAGATCGTAACAATAAAATTTTATCAATATCGTTTAAATTCTATCTTCGATACAAAGTAATTTTCGCGTTTCAATTTTGAAATTGTTTTCCAGTAAATCTATATCTATACTAATATTATAAAGAGGAAAGATTTGTACCTATTTTTGTATGTTTATAATGAATAGGCTCAAAAAGTACTGGGCCGATTTAAAAAATCTTTCACCAATAGAATGCTACATTCTTCCAATTTGACATAGGCTACATTTAATTTGGAAAAAAATTAGGTGTCCTTGGTAAAATTTGAACAATGCAACCGAAGGTGTAGAAAAATGAGTCTTAAAATGTCTTTCGTCGAATGCGCTGCCGAAACTATTAGCTATACCTCCAGAACAAAATAATGTACAACAATATTGAAGAACATCATAATGTCTACAAAAAACTCCGCGGTAGATTATGTCCAATTATTGTAGTTATGTCACTACAACAATCCAAATTTCCAAAAATAAATAATTGTCAACCCCGTGCGAAGTCGGGACGGGCTGCTAGTTAATTATAAAAACATGTTTTCTAGTACTTATGTCATACCAAAGGAAATATTTCAAAGGCAAAAAACAAGTTTTAATTTTTGGAATATTTTAGAAAATTGATAAGATTATAACCTGAAATAGGTACTACTAGGTTAGGTACGGTGATCTTACATTATAGATACTAGTTTATATTCTCTCGTCGTCTTATTTTGTCTAGCACTGCAAAATACGAGGTGGCCCTTTTGCAAAGTTTACATAGTACACGAGTTTCTCTATAGAACTTTTGGCCAACCATCATAATTATATTTTGGTGTAGTCTACTATTTACAATAACCATCATATTACAAATCGCAAATGACTAAAACAAATATTTGTTCACGTAAATATTGGTTATTTGTTTTGAGAACAATAAAAGTTTATATCCATATACGTATATCGCGCGTTTGAGACTTCTATTTGATAAAGGAATTCAATAACTTGGAGCCTTTATGCTGGCTTAGAGCTTGAGATCAAATACGCCTTTTATTTCCATTGTGAGTACCCTACACATGATACATAGGTGCTTTATAGACATGTTGGCATAAAGTTTGTTCATGGCAAGCGAATATTGCGATCCACAAAAATATGTGAACACTACCTCATTTTTGTGAAATGCAGTGTAAAACTTTCTAACAAAATGTCATGTAATGACATGATCTAGCAATAAGCAATCCTAATTTACCAAAACATGTAATTTTCGAAATAAGATGCAGTTTAACAATGTTCAGATATTGTTAACACAACCGTACTGTACCTACTTATGGATGTAGGCAATGTAGGCATTAATGTACATAATATCTGTACAAGTATTAATTATGATTAGGTAATAGGAAACTGGACAGATGTTGTTGACAGAGGACTAAACTGATGTTTACTAATATCTCATGATGTCACATGTTACAGATTATTACATTGTAGGTTTCATCTGCCATTTTTGCAAGCACTTGTATTGAATATTTTGTCTTTACGACGCACAAAGATTATTCTTTTCTTAAGTTAATATGAAAATGTTTACTGGTAGCGCGTTTGTAGTTGTTAATAGGTAAATTAATGACTTTGAGTACCTAAACAATATATGCCTCATCGCATAAAATATTATTAGCAATTGAGCTAGTATTAGTAATTTAGCAAAGTTCAGTTAAAAGTTGCACGTTTACGCAAAATTACATTTATATGTATTTTAGATTACGTGGACAAGTTCAACCTGATTGTTTCAGATTCTGCATTTGATATCTGTCGTTAACAGTCCTTATTTTGCTGTGTAGAACATCCTCCATTGTTATTTTCCTCACATTATATAAAAAACACTTGGAATTTTTTGTATCAGTGCTTCGTAAGACTTATTTTTGTTCAAAAGGTCAAGTCATCCATTCTCATAGACAGTTTCAACTTGAAATTTTCTTTACATTTATCTGCTAAGAATAGTTTCTTAAAATCAACTCACAAATAAAATAATATTTTATAAGATATTTCATAAACGGGCTCATCTTGATATCGTTTTCACTAAGTCGTTTGTAGCAGGAATTAAAATGTAAAGTTTTATCGAGAACTGGATACCGCTGTTAGAATATCGACTGAGAATGAAGAATGTTTATGACATTTAAATAGACTTGAGATAAGAGTTACAATTGACTGTTAAAGCCCGCATACTAATAACTATTTCAGCTGTTGTTACAAAGTTCGCTAAATAACCGCTTGGATATACCGACGTGTCGTTGCCCTGAAATGAGGTACTTTTGTTGAAATTAATTTTAGCATTGTAGTGTTACGAACGCCGTTCGCCGAAAGATACAGGGTGAAGATAATAAAGCTATAAAGATATAAGTTACAGCTTTCTGCGACGGTTGGATTAAGTCACGCACCTACAATAGCGTTAGGTACTTACTGGTCGGTTTCATCGTAAACGTTACTTGGTGAAAACAACCCGATTCATAATTTTTCCGCCTTCGGCAAACACGTAAAGTTTTATAAATGAAAATGACATGGTTTAACATTCGATATAAAAGAAAATACCAAATCATGCTTTTAAATCTTATGGAAATATTTATCGTTATGCCTTCCGAAATAACCCTAAATAGGTAATCTTGTAGAGAAATATTCCGCTGTCGTATCTAATATGTATGATACAGCGACGCACACCACACAAAATTGGACTCTCAGAATGAAGGAAATTCTCAATTTAGGCTCACATATATCATGCAAGTTATACAATCTCGACTTGAAGTGCAGTGGGGATGCCATGTTTCTATTTTGGGAGAAGTCCAATGGGATTAGAACCTAGGTACTGCACATAATTTGATTTTCGTGCTCTAGTATCGAGAATCCAGCGTGTAATGTTACTCTGCTTATGCCAATAATTAAAGGAAAATGAGATAAGTACAAATTGTAATTAGGCTTGATTCCTAGAAAACTACTTTGATTTACAAACATGGTTCTAAACCAATGTGTTCGATTAAGGTGTCATTTCGCTAGCGATAAATGAGGTAATTTATTGGACGAATGTATCTCTGTAAATGTCCACCAGGACCAGGACATTGATTGAGTCCTCACCATTATACGTCGAGAATAGGAATAGCAATTTTTCACGTAAAACACGAAGAGGGATTTGCGGAGAAACATCCGGGATTTTTGTAACAGTCCAACAGATGAATTACTCTAGTCTACTAGAAAAGACGTTAAAAATAGAACTACGTAACTACCAATTCATTGATGTAAGTACCTATCCTTAGTTTGGAACTGTAGGATAGTAATTATCATTAATTTATAGTTATTAACCCCAGAAGTGCGTTGCTACCGCAACATAATCGTTAACAGTAATAAATAATGTTCAGGGTGACAATAGGTGGGCCCTGTCACAAACAGCTGTTCGGAACGACTCGCTATTGTTGCACGTAACAGAATTCATACTTGAATCAACTGGCGCAATAACAGTACAACAGCTTAATTACCTTCATGAGTAATGTACTGCTTTCAGAAACCGTGAAATTATTTAGGTACTATTTTGTTACGTACTAGATATAATGAACTTACTTCGCGAAGATTGAAACAGAAATGGCGGTAAAATCTAAATGGTATTCTGAAAACCTGCCTTCTTTTATCTAATCGGGTTACTTATTCAGTTAATAATTGAGTTTAATTACAAGAAAAGTTCGTCAACCTTGGGTTGAACATATTACGTAACACTACTTACACTGATTGTTCTTGCTAACAACTTGAGTATAATAGTGTTAAGTACTTTTAATTCTACAATAAAATTATATGTGAAGAAATTCTACGTACATATTTACGATGTGTATTCAAAGACTTGATGAAAATTTAATTGAAATTTAAGATGAATATTTTATTAAGTTATACATGAATGTTTAAACTAATGAGTATTTCAGGTGTTGCAATTTAAAATAATTCTCATGGATTACTTATTTAATAACATATTCACAGAAATTTAAATAGCTACGATTATATTTTCAGGCATTATGAGTATTATTCTCCATTGCTAATAATAAATACCTACCTACTTTTCAATGGTTTATTGTCACACTTGGGACACTACTTCAGATCAAACCTTCGAAATCGGGAATGGCAATAGTACCCACGTAGGTGTTTTGTCTATCTATAACGATTATAATCAACCTATAAGGGTTAATCTATGAAGAATAACACTAGAATTTTGCTTTTAAAATTACAGATGACTGCTCTGCCCTATTATTCTGAACGGTTGGGCGAACTTCACTTAAAAGGCGGGAACTTATTGTAAGTAAGAGTACTTTCAAGTCTCACGATCGAAGTTTATTTACTCTAACCGGGAAACTTTACCGAAAGAGACTATTTTAATCGTCTCTCCTCACGAACCATTAATTTTCTATTTTTAGCTTGTCGATAGAGGCGGTAAAATTTATTAGAATAGGTAAAGTATATAGTTGAGTAAAATTACGTCTAAAGTAATATGCTGAAAAGGCGTTCGTTTTTCGCTCAAGATAATCGTTGTAGGTGCAAATCATAATTTGTAAAATGTAAACACATTGTTGTGTACACAATACGTATGTGGTTTCCACATGTGTGTTTTTACGAAAATGTGATTTAATGGCAACCCTATAATAAAAACACGTTCATTTATTATAATTTAACAAAAATATTAAACAAGGAAAGGGAATAACTCAGCTGTTTCAATTTAATTCACTGAACTGTACTTTGTTTGTGAATGGCTCAAAAGAATATTAAAATAATTTTCTCATTTCCTTTACGTTCTCAGTGAAGTGAATAACGGCTCTTCACTATTATTACTGTATTTATTGCCTAGCAGCTTATAATAAATAATATTTTATTTTTGGATGTATTAGTAGCATTTTTCTAGCCACTAAAACGTGCCTTTTCCTACATTAGAATTTGTTGTGTATGAAGTTTTTAAGAGATTTAATATTATTTTTATTTTTTTAATGATGCTAATGCGTTTTATTCTCTAATTGATGTATCAGTTGTATTGTAAGAAAATTAATAACAGTACAGAATAGTTTGAATACAGACAAAATATTTTTATTCTTGTGTAAATACTTGTAAAACAATACTTACTTTTCCCGAGGAAATATTTGAAGTACCATCGCGTTTGAAACTCTGGATTTTCGAGTACAGGCGCGCTCGGGGGTCCGAATAACTGCAAACAATATTGAATATCAAATCTACGTTGTAATTACTACATATTAATGAAGTTCAATTTAAATTACTCTTACCTATAGGATGGTTATGGATATCAAGTTTTAAATCTTTCTAATTTATTTAGAGTAATCCTACACCTTATTATATTTCTAAAGTGACACTACTAACTATTCTAAACAATGAATGTGTGTAGGGGTTTGTGATTTGTGTTATTTTTGTATGGGATAGGCCGGTAAACGAGCAGACGGATCACCTGATAGTAAGCAATCGGCGTCGCCCATGGACACCTGGAGCACCAGAGGCGTTACAACTGCGTTACCGGCCTTTTGGCGATTAGCAGTTTGAGGATCGTTGGGGATTCAGGGATTATACCTACTACCCGCTTTAACTTCATTACCTATACATTTTATTTATTTTAAACTTACCTACTGCAAATTCTTCAACGGAAATCTAATCAAAGTCAAAGCATTTATTTCAATCAATTCTTAATCAGGCACTTTGAAATCGCCAAAAATTGAATTGTCCGTCCGTCTGTCTGTTTGTGAAGCTTGGCGCTGGATTCAAAGTTTAGTTTCGAATAGAGAAGAATGAGCAAGAAACTCCATTGTCACTCTTTTCGTGATCGTAATTGTCACGTTTCGATTTAATACTTTCCAAACACAAAAACTCTACTTTACCAGTAATGGCGTGTAAATGCCATCATTGTGGTATCATTTTATTACATCTGTGGTATCACAATGACAAATTACGCTAAATAGCCAGGCTTGGGCCGCAGATGCATTGCGCTTGGGTTGGGATCACTCAGACTAAGTTGTAATTGCTCATGTGTCTGCAATTAACTGGCTTGTCTACTCTTCAAACTCAAATCAATCCCAAACAGTTATATGAGGTTCCGGGTTTTACTTTCTTAATCGAAAATGATGATGATGATGATTCAGAAGAAATGGTTAGGCAAACCTAATTAATATTTACTTACAACTAACGTTGTATTGGTGATCAAATTGTAAGTTCTTCGATGCAAGTTATCCTAAAATCCAGTTTATTTAATAAATAAATCGGTTTTGTGATAACCAGATATTTATATACATATGTATAATATGTTCATAAAGAGGAACCAAATAAAATATGACTTTCAGTGTATAAAATATATTGTGTTTTATTAAATATCTACGCTTTCCAGAACGTGGAATATCAGAATTTCGATTAAAATTCTGCTTTTCACCGAACGTTGCTTTTCAGTTAGTAAAAAACAAACTTTTCAATAAAATTCCTGCCGAACTACGAACTAGAATATTGCTCTATAGAAATAACTTTAGAACGGTTCCCTTCAAACGTGCTGACAGGTGTTAATAGATTTATTTTACCTGAGAAAAACATTTTACAGTTTTTTTTTATTAGAAACGCAAAAGGTAGTTATTTCAAGAAAATTAAAACAATATAATTATAATTTGACGCTATTATGATGTCACTTACACGCCATTCATTATAAAAAAAAACTATAAGAGTCTAGAAATATAAATTTCGTCTAATATATTTGGTTTGCAAATAAAAAAGAGATTATTATTAAGACTTTTTATTACTATAAAATCTGAGCGATCTGTAATTGTAAATGTGTTCTAATGTGTTTTTTAATACATTTATTTGTTTTTATATTTTTTATTTTATAGTACACACTTATTCAAAGTATTACTGGGTTTTTAAAAAAAACTCAGTAATAGCACGGAGTCTGGAATTGTGCCCGGTATATGGCAATAGGCTCACCCCCTATTACATGGGACTCATAACATAAATAGTGAAAAGTGGGTGTTACTTCTGTGTACACCTCTGCCTACCCCTTCGGGGATAAAAAAAGACGTGATGTTATGTAGGTACACACTTATTCAATTGCACTTGAATATTTAAAAATCATGTACCTAAATTAACTAACAAGACATAATTTCAGATGCCAATCTAGATGCATTAACATCCATCATATATTTAATAGGTACACACATATTATTCATATGTAATTTCCTGCTTTGCATACACTGCTATAGCACGATACACACATGCATAAACATTTACATACACATATAGAACCCACGTATGTACATGTAATCATGTGTGATGGATACCGTACTCAAATTCCTGAACATACATTATACCAGCGCAGGGTTGCCCGGATATTTGCCAATAAACTTTTGACAAAGGCCCACAATGATTTTTCGTGCGCCTCCATTCTGCTATTCAACATTTTCGTTGATATTTCATATCTATGCCTTTCAGAGGTATTTTAAAGACTAGAGAGATTTTTGTTCGGCATAACATTCAGAAGAAATCAGAAAATAGGTACCTATTAACACATTTCATTCTGTCCACTTATAATTCCCATTGTAATAGGGAGCGAACCTATTTCTAAACATCAGGCACGTTTCCGTTAGATACACACACCTAAGCAGAATGAGTAATGACGGTCATAGAAATGATTTGCTGTAAAAGCTCGAGGGGGACACTATTACTAAATGGGTCAGCTGCCCCAAGGGAATGTTTAACGCTGATTTTTTTGGTATTAAGTATAGGTACACATTTTATATTTGTGTCAGTAGTTAGGTACGTATTTCTTTTTCTAAAACGAAGTGTGTACATTGTTCTAACATGGAAATACAATTTTATGACTATGGAATAGAGTATAAACTCTCGCTCTTTTTATTAATACAGTAAATAAAAAGAACTGCCTATATTACAACTAAGTTGTAAGGTAAGAAAAAAGCGTGAAAGTGAAAACTTCGCCGTCAACAAAATTTTTACCTACAAAGGTTTACCGTCAGAAAAAGATACTTATGCTAGTAGTAAAATGTTGATGAAAATGCTTACCTCATCCTTTTCCCCCAGCGAGTTGCCATTTTCGAGGCGATAGCGGCGCGCCACCGCATCCAAGGCTCCCGGGTCGCCGGACGCTGACAGCTGCAAAACAAACCAACCTCGTTAATGACTGACACTTTTAATCATTCACAAAGGGTAGGAAACTAATGAAAGTTTAACTTCTTGTCAACTCATGTCAGCCCGTGGGCGACTATTGAATGTAATGAACGGGGTTGTCCCGAGTTGTAATGTAATTTTGCTAGACAAACTTGTAGATAATTGTACTTTCCTATTCGCACGCAATTATTGAAGGAATTTGGTAAAAAAATCAATAAAATTATTTCTAAAACTCATTATAACATTTTCGCGCCTTTATTGACAATTCTATATTCAAATAAACGCAATTCTCAAAATTCTGGCCAGACTTATAAAAAAAAAGGTTTTAGTTAATTTTATTAATATATTTTTTTAACTTTATAGCAAGGAGTTTAAACACAATTCCTGTTGTTTTTATCGATATTTTTTTACCGTTTCAAAACGGCATGGCACGTACCTAAGTGAACAAAAGAAAAAGTTAACAGGTAGAAGGGACTTTTATGTTAACCTGAATATAAATATTTAAGCAAAGAAAATTTAAACTTTCCGCAAAATTTCGATCCTATTTTGGTTACTTGATCCCTGAGACTGCGAAGTTTTCCAATTGGATGATAGGAATGGAAAAATTCAATCAAGCGGATGAAGACTGTTTGGAAGTTTCAAGAGTTTCAAATATTTGTATTATGATATAGAAGTTGGTACCTACATATGACAAGTAGGTAATTTAGGGGTAAATACGGGTTTATTGGTATATGATAAATGTACTTACATTTATCTATTGTGAATAGTTTATAACTTTTATAAGTTTGCTCACTCAAAGCTCTTTCAAAAGAAGTTTAATTTATTTTTTTGTAAGTTATCCCAGCATTTGATTATTCAACGTATTGGCAATGTAGGTACCTAATAATGTGGCATCTACCCATTATGCGGTATCTGCCTTCGTTATTTAAATAATTATGTTTACCTATATGGAAACATTTATCCATATATTTAAAATAGGTATCTTATTAAGATGTTATTTTGGATTTTAATTTTATATCTAATTTCATCTAAATTACACAACTACAAAATCGTGGAACTAAAGTAAAAAAGTATATATGAAATAAACCTGATCACATATTTACATGTGTCATTAAAATTGTTCATATCCAACGCGCTGCAGGTCGAGATTAATTGACTTTTTGATTAGGCTATTATGCGCTACTAGCAAAATATATGTAGGAAAATCGCAAATCAGAACGAAGCTTATAAAAATATTGTTCATTTTAAAAAGTCTTGATGGAGTTAATTTCAATAGAGCAAAGTTTAAATGTAGATACTAACATTTAACTCGTCGAGTACCGGTTTTGTAGACACAATTATAGAGGTAGAACAATAGGTTGCGGTCACCGGTGACCGCTTGGTGTTTAACAGTTTAAACTGCACATGCTTACTGTAACTGTCACCCTGTCACCATTTATTAACAAGCATTACAAACATACATAAGTACCTAAATATTAGAATTAACGTAAAGGTTTAAACTGCACATACTTACTGTAACTGTCACCCTGTCACCATTTATTAACAAGCATTACAAACAGACATAAGTACCTAAATATTAGAATTAACGTAAAGGTATCTGACTAGGCCCTTAGGTGTAGGATCTAAAATGACACATCTAGTAATACATAACTAGAGTGTAATTTAAACGTAGCACCCAAAGAGTTTTATAACTCACTTTAGTCTGAATATCTTCTAACAATCCGTCTGTCTTTATAAGCTGAGTACAAATCTTATAAAGAAACTTGATTGGCAGATTTAATTCTCCTAATGCTCGTTATAAAATGGCTACCTCACATTTTGTTTTAGACAGATGATATATTTGAGTAGACGTAGGTTGGTACTCTTGGTTCCTATTGGTCAGTTGCCAGGCAGTGGCAAGTAATCAAGACTAATGAGAATTCGGTTCGGGTCCACGACCTATAAGTACCTACGTATCAAAATCAAATAAAAAACAATTTTGGTAACGTTTTCCTTCTCATCGTCTACTTATTGGATTTGATCTCATTTCCTATGAATATTTGATTGCTTTCTCAAAAGCAGGACTAATGAAACGTTATGAATATTTTAGGTACATGGTATTATTTCGTAATAAGAAAAATCTGGATGGTCCTCAAAAATTGAAATGAATATTACGTTTCTTGCAACATTAACCAATTTCGACGTGAAGAGAGTTTATTTACGAATTATTTATTTGACTCCATTCAGACTTCAGGTTCACTTTCATGAACAAATTGTGCTTAAAATCAAAGTTGGTGAAAAGAGGTGCCTACTGCTAAACAACTATATAAGTAGGTACCTATACTAAATTTAATTTTAACATTTAGAGGGTTAATACATCGTGGCCGGGAAGTTGACGCTCAAGCGGAAAATTTAGATACTTTAAGTATGATGAGGCGTATCCAAATCAGCCCTATGTACCTATGTTCTACGATTTTGCGTAGTTTTCGAGTTATAATTTTTTTAATAATTGCTTTAGTAATTTTTACCTAACATCAGTTTTCGGCCGTTTCTGGATTAGTTGTTTTGTGGTAACTGACTAACATAGTCTAACTTAAGCCTAAATTTTAGGCCACTTATGTAACAAAATAAGTTCAACCAGTGTTGAATAAGCATAAAATAATACGTAAGAACTTAAATATTCAATCTAATAAACATCCTCTATTATGATTAACACGTTAAACGCCATGGCAGTCACCGGTGACCGACATTAGCGGAGGATTTGCCTTCAACAGTTTTTTATTGGCAGCCAATGCCTTAACCACAGTAACTTAACAAAAACAAAGTAAATCCTTCAGTTAACTACCTTCTATTCAGGACTGAATATAATCAAGAAAACAATGCCCGCCATTAACTGTGGTCTAGAAACAATAAGGATTCAATAGCGGACTTAATTAATATATTTCGACCAACAAATAGATTGTATCATCATTTATAAAACAGTTACACAACTATTTGTTTATTAATTTTAATTACGTAAATGAAAAATAATTCTTAAAAAGCTAGAAAAAATTATTAAAGGTGGTTCTGTTATTAAATATCTATAGGTACATAAATCCTGGTTAAATCACAACAAAAAATTTAATGCAGAGGCTATTTGAAAATTAAAATAAATAAAAGAAAAATAATACCTAATGTCATTTTACAAATTTTTTGACGAAATGTGTCCAGTTTCAAAATGTTAAACGAGGTTAGTAATAAAGGTTCGCCACACAAGAGAAATAATAGTAATTGGATAACTGTGTATTTATTATTATTATTTTAAATTAATATGTAGGATCAGGGTCCGACATTATTTGAAAATAAAACAAAGGGCTTCACATAATCACTTAGTTTATTTCGATTCGATTCGATCGATCGCTCGACACAAACAGACGTGCATATCAATGCATTATAAAATTAAATAAATTAACTTTAGCATAAAAGTTGACCCAGTTTTATACTGCATCAGTGTGTTTTAAGTGGTTTTATTTTGAAGACTACAATGGTCTGACTATTTATTATAAAAAGTGATTTCATTTAAATTTTGCATATGGAAGGCAGTCCCTTTACTCGGAGTGGGATGACGCCACGGAGCCCACCATCGACACCAACACCAGGGCCACCTGAACAACCAAAGCAGAATCGAGAAGGTGTCGAAGCAGTCGGCACTGCAGAGATTCAGAGCTGGTTGAGCTCCATTGAGCAGTATTTAAACGAGGTATGTGCCATT